ACAGGAGAAACACAGACAGGAGAGACACAGACAGGAGAAACACAGACAGGAGTGAGACAGACAAGAGAGACAGAAAGGAAAGACAGACAGGAGAGACAGATAGACAGAATAAAGACAGTAGAGACAGACAGGAGAGAGACAGATAGGAGAGACAGACAGGAGACTGACAGGGGAGAGACAGACAGGAGAGACAGACATGAGAGAGACAGATAGTAGAGAGACATACAGGGGAGGAAGACAGGAGAGACAGACAGGACATAAACAGACAGGAGAGAGACAAACAGGAGAGACAGACAGGAAAGAGACAGACAGTAGAGACAGACAGCAGAGAGACAGACAGGTGAGAGCAACTGAGGCCTTCTCACCTCGTCCTCCTGCCAGGCATCAGAACCGAACAGCAGCTTGCAGATGATTGCAGCTGATTGAGAGCTGAGATCGGTTTTGACCCAGAACACATGACCTTGATTCTATTAGCTCTGACTCACGCTCACATTCCTGCAGACATGTTTATCTGATTCAGAACCAGAATCGGACCAGAGACCTGCTGCAGGATTTTAGTTTCTAAGTTCTTTTCTGTAAACAGATTCTGTATCAGCTGGTCCACAAACATGGACTCCGAGAAGAACCAGAGTGGTTCTGTTTGGGTCAGAACTGTTCCTACAGCTGTTGTTGGGTTGTGTGTCCCAGTCTGTAGCAGAACAAAACTGGGCAGTGGACTCACGAGAAGGCCTCCTTGTAGTCATTGGGTTTGATGCAGCGGACATAGTGCGGCGTCGTGGCATTCAGGGTCTCCATCAGGAGGTGGAGTGACGAGCGGAACTGAAACACACAGAACCACAGGTCTGGACCAGAACTAGGAGGTTCAGGGGGTCCCTGCAGAACCGAACTCTCACCTGGTGTCCCACCGTCTTCCTGTGCTCCTTGTTGGGGGCTTTAGGAACCGTTTTTATAGAGCGAATGTTCACCTTGGATGGTTTGGAGGGGATGTCATCTTTCTCTTGGAACAGATCCGCGACCATCTGAAACTGGGATAAAACAGAATGTTTAAAACCTAAACAGAGTCTGCAGGGAGAACCAAACACCGATCCTGGTTCTGGTTCTTACCTGGCTGGCCTTCAGGATGTTGATCTGCTCCTCATAGACGGTGTCTCTGTTCTTCTCCAGGAAGCCCTCACACTGATACTCCACCTAAAACAGCAGGACACAGGTTCTGTCTCCACAGTGACGGGTCAAAAGTTCTGATCTGAGAACCACAAGGACGAAGACTGAAACAGAAAGACCTTCAGGATTGATTCACCTGCTGACTCAGGAAGGAGATAAAAATAATCTCTGACAGTTCCAGAATGATAGGAGAAATCTAAAAAAGTAGAGTAAGGTACTCTGGGCGGATTCTTTTTGTTGAAATGTTTCGTCTTTAATTCGAAAAACTTTTTCAGTCTGAGAAGCTGCAACAAACTGAGTCTTATAAATAGCACCTTCTCATGGTGGATCAACCAGTTTGTTGTTGACGTCCAGCACTAGCAGTTCACATGATCAAGGAGGACCATCAACCTAACAATGGATCATTAGCACACTGATGGCTGTTTACTGTTCACAGAGGGCTGAGTGATACTAGCAATAACAGCATTGTAAGAGGGGGACAGTTGAACCTGGAGGCCTCCACCCCTGTTTAATGATGGACGATTTCTTTTCACAAAGATGGCCTCCTTTACTCCTCTCTCAAACCATCGTTCCTCTCTGTCCAGGATGTGAACATCTTCATCCCTGAAACAGTGACCTCTGGCCTGGAGATGAGTGTAGACCGCAGAGTCCTGGCCTGATAGTGTTGCTCTTCTGTGCTGGTCCATCCTTTTGGCCGGTGGTTGGTTGGGTTCTCCGATGTAAGACTGATCACCCTTCTGACACTGAACAGCATACACAATATTACTCTTTCTGTGTCGGGGGACTGGATCTTTGGGATGAACCAGTCTTTGTCGTAATGTATTTTGGGGTTTAAAAGCCACTGGGCCGTTATTTTTAGAAAATAAACGTTTCAGTTTCTCTGATACTCCCTCAACATATGGAATGACCACTGGTCTGGGTCTGGGTTCCTCCTTTTCACCTAATGGGTGACTGGAGTCCTGTTTGGGTTTCTTCTCTGCTTTCAGGAAGGCCCAGTTAGGATATCCACATTGCTCTAGAGCCTGTCTTGTTCGGGATTTCTCCTTCTGCCTGGCTCCTGAGCTAGTGGGGACACTGTCTGCTCTGTGGTACAGAATCCTGATGACTCCTAACTTGTGCTCCAAAGGGTGATGGGAGTCAAACTGCAAATACTGGTCTGTGTGGGTGGGTTTGCGGTACACCTCAGTTTGCAAATGTCCTCTATCAGAGACTGAGACCTCACAGTCCAAGAAAGCCAACCTGACATTTTTGACATCTTCTCATGTGAACTTTATATATTTATCCACAGAACTGATCAGTAAAATGTTGGAATTCCTGAGATTTAATTTAAACCCAGGTGCCATCAACATTCATAGTTGCTCTGTGGAAAGTGTGGTCTTGCTGCTCAGAGTGGTCTCTGATTCTAACCTTAGACAGACCACCTCTACTGCCTCATCAACAGGAAGTTCAGGATGGCCCAGCACAGAAGATCAACATCATCAGGCCAGGACTCTGCAGTCTACACTCATATCCAGGCCAGTGTAGTGAACTTGACCTGATGTCAAATCTGACCAGATGGACAGAAACTGTTATTTCATTGATCTGCATCCAGAAATACAGTTTGACCCATCCTGAGACTTTCTTTCTTGAATTAATCAAGTAGAAATGACAATTCTCTATGATCATTACTATTTTACAAATGTTTTAATAATCAAATTGTGTTAGTTCAAACAATGTTTACAGGTTGAAGAGAACTACTCATTTTTATTTACATAAACAGTAAGTAATGATTTTTATTCCTCATTCAAAGAAGAAATCAGGTTAATATGCATTTCTTGATTTTTCTGTCTTCAATGAGCAAGTTTGTAAGTGTGTGTTAAAGTTCAGGTTTCGGTCAACTAAAAAGTTTACTGAAAAGAAATGTCATGTTTAACTTTTACAGCAGATACTAGGAGTAGAGACTCCACGAAGTCTGGTTTTCTCCAATAATCTTTCTGTCTGTTTTAAACAATCCTAATCTCTATCCTTGAATTTTCATAACACCTTACATCACAAACCACACCTCTGTTCTGGTCCATCCAC